CGACCATACAAGCCCTCAAAGGGAGCGACTCCTATGCTCGTGTGGTAGTTGTTGTTGTATGAAAATTCAACTAGGGGCAGATGGTTATCCCAGGCTTTGCCAAAATCTATTACACAGGCTGGAAGCATGTCTTCTATAGTTTGAATAGTTCGCTCGCTTTGGCCATCAGTCTGAGGGTGATAGACAGTGCTCATATCCAGTCGGGTTCCCAATGCTTTCTGGAGCGACTGCCAGAAACGAGAGGTGAATCTACTATCTCGATATGAGATGATAGATATGGGGACTCCATGAAGTCTCACCACCTCTTTCAAGTATATTCGTGTTAGCCTTTCCATTTTTACGTCTCCTTTATTAGCAGGAAATGGGCGGATTTTGTTAATCGGTCGACAATCACCTAGATAGCATCTAGACCTTCTGCCGTCTTGGGTAATTTGGTTATAAAATCCATTGGGATCCTTTCCATTTTTACTCGGGTATTTCGGGTTGTTGAAGTAGACCCGAGGGCTTCTGATACTCCACTCTAACATTGGCACAAGTGAGACACTTGCCTACATAAGTGGCAATCTTCGCTTTCATATTCGTCCACCAATAATGTTGTTTGATATCCAGGTACATCTTGTCGGAACCCGGATAGATAGAGTACCTTTTTTGTGAGCCTCATTCATTATCACGTCCCGAAATCCACCGAACCTCAGTGTCCAGATTCGGTCCATAAGATAATAGGCTCTGTCTTCTTTGACCATCAGATTCTTTTCCATTCCGCGCAATGCCTCATTGGCGACGTTTTCTGGCTTTAAGGCTTCCTGCTGAGCCTCTTTGATTTGTTAGGATAGATGGGAATGGACGGTCATTGTTAACGTCCTTACTCGGCGACCCGAGTACTCCTTTAGGCTTAAGGCATTGGCTACCACATTTGCCTTCCATGGATGGTACTTGATTTCGCACTCATAGTCGTTTAGCAGTTCGACCCATCTCCGTTGTCTCGTGTTCAATTCCTTTTGATTCAGAATGTGATGGAGGCTCTTGTGGTCTGTGAAAATGGTATAAATTGTACCATATAGGTAGTGCCTCCAAATCTTTAAGGCGAAGACCACAGCTCGCAGCTCGAGATCGTGGGTGGTGTAGTTTACTTCATGGGTCTATAGTTGTCTAGATGTGTAAGCTATCACTTTTCTGTGTTGCATAAGCACACAGCCTAACCCTTGGTTAGAAGCGTCGTAGTACACTACGAAGTCCTCCGTTCCCTCTGGTAAGGACAGCACTGGAGCACTGCACAGGGCTTGTTTTTTTTGGGTTTGGAAGGCAGCTTCTTATTTGTCATTCCAATGGAAGGGTACACCCTTATGGGTGAGAGTGGTGAGACGCTTGGCGATTTTGGAAAAATTTTAGATGAACCTTCGGTAATAACCGGCAAGGCCTAAAAATTTTTGGATTTCGGTTGGCGTTCTTGGGGTTGTCCAGCCCTCAGTATATTTGATCTTGGTAGGGTCCACATGTATTCCTTCTTCACTGACTACATGACCCAAAAATTCTACTCTACGAATCCAGAATTCGCATTTGGAGAACTTTGCGTAAAGCTTCTCTACTCTCAGTGTTCCCAAAATCTGTCATAAGCACCGGTTGTGCTCTTCCTTACTCTTAGAGTAAACGAGTATATCATCGATGAAAACAATCACGAAGTTGTCGAGAAACGGCCAACAGACTCGGTTCATCAGGTCCATAAAGGTTGCGGGGGCATTTGTGAGACCAAAAGGCATGACTACAAATTCGAAATGCCCATAACGGGTTCAGAAGGCAGTCTTTGGAATATCCTCCTCTCGGACCCTTAGTAGGTGGTATCCGGACCTCAAATCTATCTTGGAAAAGTAGCTGGCTCCTTGGAGCTAGTCGAATAGGTCATCGATTCGAGGGAGTGGGTATCGATTCTTGACGGTAAGCTTGTTTAACTCTCGATAATTGATGCACATTCTGAAAGATCCGTATTTCTTTTTGACAAACAGGACCGGAGCTCCTCAGGGTGCAAAGATCGTTGGGGGGATGTCAAGTCCACCAAACAAATTACATCCTTTGTTTGCAAATAAAACGTAATATAATGGTAAAATGGGGTATCGATCCTCGGGTAAATGGTTGCATTCAATTACTAATGCAATCTAATAGAACTAGTGTAAATAAACTATCTAACTATAATTAAACTAAAAGAGGGGGTGTTGTGATTGCTTGAAAACTAAAAGACTTGAATAACTAAAAAGCTTGCAATTAAGCAAGATGGTGATATACTCAAATGTTAGGAACAATTGGTTAACCAAGGCAATTCAACACAATGAACATTTGTGTGTTTATCATTAGGATTCAATACAAAGCTTATCATTCATCCCAAATTGGTTATAGAAATCATGAAGCATGATATGCCAAGATTCCTCATAGGTAGTATGGAGGTTGGGGAAGCCCACAACACACCTTCTTAATGAAAATCAAAGATCCAATTGAAGCAATTGAACCTAAGAAGTTGATTAGCCTTAAGAATGAAGGAATCCCCAATTCCTAGAGGATGTCAATACTTACACATCCATAAAGGAGCTATGATTCATAAGATAGAGATGATTTCTACCATCATAAAGCTCTTGTTCTAAGTAAATTCAATGATTCAATGCTAAACCAAAGAAATAAACCAACAATTTCTCATTCAAGTACCAAGCTCATGATCAAAGTGTTAAAAAAGCATAAGAAATATGAACTAGAACCATAAACATAAGATAAATGATAAATAAACATGAATCCTTCAAAAACCCGCAAACATTCAAAGGTTTTAGCCAAAGTTAACGAAGATAGAGAGTTTAGCCATTATGGCAATAGAATAAAAATCACAAAAGTCTAATTGCATAAAGAAACTACCAATAACTTGGAAAGATGAAAAGAAATGAGTCTCAAGCTCCAAAGATTCTCTTGGTCCCCTCCATATCCCACATGATTCAAACTAACCAATCATCTTCTAGCTTCAAATATGGATGCTCCAAGCCCTAAATAGAAGTCCATGACCCATCTTCACAACCCCACTTCATCCAAGTCCTTAGCCTTTTTAAGCCCAAATCTCCTTTGGTGGATCCGCCAAGCCCAATAATGCATCGAAAAGCCCACTAAGCCCAACTCTAGTCAAACCGCAACCGCAATGAGCTCCAAAATCCTACAAAATTCCTCATGCAAAATAGAAAGTCCCCGATACGGTCCATGATAAAGAAAATAAAGAATATACAATGCAATACTAATAAAAAGAGCTAAAAATCTAAAATAAACTAATAAAAATAAGGAAATAAAATAAGCTATCAAATCACCCCAAGATTAAACCTAACTTGTCCTCAAGTTAGAACAAGACTAAAATGAGCTCGGGATGAGCTAAACTAAAAAGGAAAAAGAAAGATACCATAGAACTTGGTCAACATCAGTCAACATGGTCAGAATCAGCCCTTCATGGACCCTACGCATCTTCAAAATGTTCCCTGCTTTAGAGCCATAAACCACATTCTTAACTACCTGATGGGCGAATAGATCACGGCTGGATGTAGTCGCGGTGTGCAAGACAAAGGAAATAGAGATGCGCCCAGTGGGGGCACTTTAAATCACCAATGCAGACCATAGCACATGAAGGAAAGGCGCCTCTTCAAACACTATGATTCCTACATTTGTTAGGCTAAAGTGTTTAATACGAAATAGGGTTTTGCAGCACGGCCTCCGGGCAAACATACGGTTTCAAAGGCTTCTCCCTTGTACTGTCCTTTACACTCTACCGTCTCATCGTCACGGCCTTTTCTCACTAAAAATAAAATAAAATAAAATAAAATTCTACTTAACCTAAACCTAAACCTAACAATTTAAATCTTCAATCTTGAACTTCTGTTATTTGGATTTCAGCCTCTTTTTTGTTTGATATTCAGTCTTCTTATTTCTCTCATTTTTTTAGAGAGAAGTATTGAACTTGGATTCTTGTTCTTCTTTTTGTGTTGCTCTTTTTCTTCATCTTTTTCTTCATTGTTTTTGCTGATTTTCTTCAATCTTCTTCATTGTTTCTTTTTGTCTTCACTTTTCCAATTTCTTCATTGTTTTTGTGTTTTCTTCTTGTCTTTCTTCTTTGAAGGTCTAAGGAATTTCACCATGTAACATAGGATGGTGGCTAACATGAACACCTAAGGCTCATTGACAATGTGCCAAGATCAACTAAAAAGGGTGGGATATGACTCAAAAATGGGTGTTACTGAAAAAAACAAACTTGGTCCCAAAAGATGTGATTGGGGGACCCACTTCCAAGTTCATCAAGCACCTCAATGAAAGATGTGATAAACAAAATTTATCTAACTATCTACTCTAGACCCCTAGAAAAATGACGATCAATCTTAAAAAGGTGGTGAGAATCTAACTAAGTAAGGCTCGGACGAGACTCGGGAGTACTAAGGGGTACCCCCCCCCCCCAAAACGAAGATGCGAGTCTTCAATGTCTTCAAAGTACCCTACCGGGCTAATCTTTGCTCGCACACATTGGCATGACCAACCACATCCCTCCGCACCTAGACCCAATCAAGCTACCTGTATCTGACACCCACACAAGCGGTATCAAAGTGGTCTGTGAGGCTCAAAACGTGTCCCATTTATCGAATACAAGGAATTCCATATCAAAACCCGGGACCAATCTATGATTCAATACTTATGACTCGGCGTTATGGTACCTGTAGGGATGAGAAGACAGGAGAGAAAAAAAATGCATGAAACTTAAACTAAAATGCATCTAAAAAGAATGAAAATTAGAAAAGAAAGAAACAAAAATATGCAATATTTTTGAACTTTTTTTATGCAATTTATTTTATGAATGACCTAAATGATTTACTCTGAATGCAACTATATACAACCTAAATGCAATAAAAATAAAAGATAAAAGAATACCTCACCCCAAGCTTAAAATGAAGCATTGTCCTCAATGCTTAGGATGAGAGTAAGGAAGGATCATACCGGGATCAAGGTGGAGGAGGCCCACAAGGAGGGTAGCCACCTTCGGGCTGAAAATGATACCAAAGATCCTCCATGTAGTTGTTGGTGCGTGCTTGCTGCTCCTCGAGGCGCCGTATGGATGCTGTATTCCGGTTGCCCTGGAGGCGCAATGAAGCAAGATGACTGTAGATATCAAGAGGGAATTCAGGCTCGGGATCGAGCTCGTTGTGTTGTTGATAAGACTGGTACTCGTGTTGTGGCTCAAAATGTGCTCCCGAAGGCTGACCATAAAAGGGTGGTGGCAATTGTCGGATTGGGAGGTCATAATGGTCTTCGGTCTCAAATGGACTACCAACATTGGCATTGTCGACCTGCATTTCATCATCATCTTCTGCAGCATCATCATCATGTAACTCTTCAGGCTAGAACAAAGTTTCGGGGTCACTGGTGGTAAAGGTGGATATGCATATATTAGGTAAGGTGTAAGCTGGTTGCTTGACGTGGTTGAGCCAGGAGTACTGACGATTGTTGATGGGTACCAATAATTCCATCCTGGTGAAGGGCTAAGCAGTCGAGGAAGTAGAGAGGTAGGTCATCCACTGGCACATACTCAGACTCGGGAAATTGAAGGCCCACACCCAAACCAATTAGGGTAATGAGACCTCCGTTGCAAATGTCGTCAGTGGTATTCGTGCGTATGCTGTCACACTTGTCCAAGAAAAAGGTGGCGAAACCGGGGCAAGACCAACGGCGGCTAGTCATGCAGTAGAGGAAATATTGCTCGACTGTGTTTATTTGTCCCGGCTATTGACGACCAAAGACGGAAGTTGAAAGGATTCGGTGAGCGATTCTCCAACAAGGATGGATGATCAAAGGATCTTTTTGTCGACTTGGATTGAAGTTTGGAAGACAAGTGATTTGAGTCCAAAACTCTACTTTGGGCAAACTCTTGAATTGGGTCCATTGATAACTATAGATTTCGGTGTTGTGCATATCGTATGTGCCCATGATAGTGTTGAGGTTGTCGTATGTAAGTCGGTACTGCCGACCCTGAAGTCTAAATGTGAGCACCCCCTCTGTGTCATCCTGTGCATAAGTGGAAAGGAACTCAAGTGTGGGTTGATTGTATGTGCGCGCGGAAAGAGCTAAGAAATCGTGCCAACCGATATTGAAGAACAGTTGTTGCAAGCAATCATCAAGTCCAAGGTTGATCATCGACTCCAGGTGGTAAAATTTGGTGGCTCGGATCGCACGTTTTTGGAGGTTGGACTTGAATTGCTTGATTTGTGCACTAGTGAGGGCAAGGTTACCATCACGATCAACATGCTCGGTGGACATCTTTTTTGTTGAACGTGAGGATTGAGCTTCACGGGAACATCCATGAGACGCGTGAATAGTTTTGTTCATTCCCATTGCACCAGTTAATATAACCTAGCAAAGACCAATCCAATCAATCCAAATAACAATAAAAACCGGGCAATTAATCCAAAATTGCAATTTCTCTCGATTCAATACAATATAATCCAATAAATTCACAGCAAACCAAGTCGAATTACTCTAATACATGGCATAATGTTATCGAAATTGGAAATAGAATGCAATAACTGAGAAGGAATGTACCAAATTCGATAGTCGAAACCCAAAAATAAATCCACAAAAACCGCACCCCAAGCTTGAATTGAACCCGCAAGGTTGAATCTTGTGAATCTCCAGGGAGAAATAAGAAATTTGAAAATTTTCGTCAAAATGAGTGGCGGCGGCCGGCGGCGGCGGCATACGGTGGCCAGCGGTGGAGCTAGGTTTTTCGGCGATGAGATTTTCCCGAATTAACAGTAGATCGGCGTGTGGTAGAGTGTTTGGTGAATAATGCCCCAAGAAATTTTGGAATTGGATGGGAATTGGCGTCGGAATCAGGTTTGAACGAATTTTCGACGATGAGATAATGGTGGCATCCGTTGGTTGTTCTCGGTGGTAAGAGAGATGGGGGGGGGGGGGGTCGGAATTAAGTGGGGAGTACGTTGGAGAGGGAGCGCCAGTGATAGCAGCGAGTGGTGAGGCGGAGGCTGTGATGTGCGTTTTTCCGGTGACGAAGGTAGTTGACGAAAATCGGAGACTGCTGGCGGCTGGAGAAGAGGCAGGGCGACCGGCGACGTGAGTTGTGCGGTAGCGCCGACCGGTGGCGACGACGGACGACTGGACTTTGTTCGGAATTCGTCGGTGGTAGCGGGTGTAGCGGAGATCGGCGGTAGATGGATTTGGATCGCTGTCTTCCTTGTGGACAGGAGGAACAAGGGGGAAGGGGGGGTCCGACGGGCTGAAGGAGGTATAAGGTGGGTAAAAAACTAATGGGTCGCGTCGGGTCGAATAGTGGGTCGGTTCTGGGTTGGAATGAACTTGGAGCGGTTTACCGGGTGGGGCGGTTGATTTGTGGGTATTATGGGTTGGTCGCGCAAAGGAGATGCAACTTTGGTATTGGCCGTGCAATGAGCTGCGAGGGTCGAGTTCGGCCGCGCGCAAAAATCAGAGAGCACCCCATGTTGGGGTAATTTGGAACTCGGAATCTGCGCGGCTGGGGGTCGGTCGCGCAACGGTTGCGCGGGTACCCGCGCAAATTGCAAATTTTTGGCATTTTTCAAACTTCATCAAGATCATTGCAAGACTTCAATATGCTTATTTTTATACCAACTTCATGCTTAGAAACAGCCAAAACTTCAAGCGGAGATTATTTATTCACAATGCATTAATTTAACGTCTTTGCCAAGATATAGCCCCGCTTCCATCAATCTTCGTAATTTGGGGTTTCCAATGTTACGTTGTCGAATTCTCTCGTGTCAAAGACTTCAGAAAATTGTTTCAAGCGGTGTCCATTCAATTTGAATATTTGATTTGTTTCTAAACTCTTCATTTCAACCGCACCGTGTTCAAACACTTTTATAACAATAAAAGATCAGTGCCATCTAGACCTCAACTTTCCCGGGAATAGCTTTAAGCGTGAATGATAAAGAAGTACTTTTTTCCCCGGAATAAAATGCTTTCGAGTCATGTGCTTGTCGTGAAACGCTTTTGTCTTGTTTTTGTAGATGCTTGCATTTTCATAAGACTCGTTCCTCAACTCTTCGATTTCTTGAAGTTGCATCTTTCGGTGCTTCCCGATTTCTTCGAGATTGAAGTTACACCTTTTAACCGCCCAATATGCTCTGTGCTCCAATTCCACCGGTAAATGACAAGACTTTCCATAGATGAGACGGAATCGAGACATGCCAATTGGAGTTTTGTAGGCGGTCCGATACGCCCACAATGCATCTTTTAACTTCAAGCTCCAATCTTTTTGTGTGGTGTTGACCGTTTTTGCAAGAATTTGTTTGACTTCTCGATTTGACACTTCGGCTTGGCCGTTTGTTTGCGAATGATAAGCAATTGATATCCGATGTGTGACACCATATCTCTTCATCATTGCTTCCATCATTTTATTGCAAAAATGAGTGCCCCTATCACTCACCAAGGCTCTTGGTACACCATATCTTGCGAAAATGTTTGACTTCAAGAAGTCAATTATATTTTTAGAATCATTATGCCTTGTAGCCTTTGCTTCCACCCACTTTGAGACGTAATCAACCACCAATAGTATATAAGTGTATCCGAAAGAGATGGGGAATGGGCCCATGAAATCGATTCCCCATACATAAAAGATCTCACAAATGAGGATGGGGCTTTGAATCATTTCGTTCTTCATGGATATGGTTCCCATTCTTTGACATCGATCACAACTCTTGCAAAATAGATAGGTATCTCTTGACATTGTTAGCCAATAGAGTCCACATTCGAGCACCTTTCACATGGTTTTGTTTTGACCAAAATGTCCTCCACATGCATACTCATGGCAAAAATTCAAGATAGACTCGACCTCATTTTGATGAACACACCTCCGTATTAGTTGATCCAGACAGTGTTTTGCAAAGGTAAGGGTCGTCCCATACGTAGTATTTGGAATCACTCTTCAACTTGGCCTTTTGGTATCTGGTAAATACGTGTGGAATTTCTTTAGTAACCAGGTAATTGACAATATCCGCATACCATGGAATGGTATTTGAAATGTAGAAGAGGTGTCCATCCGGGAATTCATCAAGAATGGAAGAAGAAGAACGACCAATATTCAACCGACTTAAGTGATCCGCAACTAGGTTTTCAGCATCACTTTTGTCCTTTGTTTCAAGATCGAACTCATGTAAAAGAAGAATCCACCGAATTAACCGTGGCTTGGCATATTTCTTAGTCATTAGATACTTCAAAGCCACATGGTCGGAGTATACAATCACTTTTGTCCCGAGAAGGTATTGTCGAAATTTCTCCAATGCGCAAACAATGGCTAGAAATTCCTTCTCGGTGGTGGAATAATTGGCTTGAGAATTATCCAAGGTTTTGGACGCATAGTAGATGACGTGTAATTGTTTTCCTTCCTTTTGACCTAAAACCGCTCCAATGGCGAAATTGCTTGCATCGCACATGATTTCAAAGGAAGCTCCTAATTTGGAGGTTGGATTATTGGAGCGGAGGTGAGCAAGTCTTTAAGTTTGTCAAAGGCCTCTTGACATGCTACATTGAAGTCAAAGTCAACATCTTTTTGGAGAAGGATACACATCGGTCTCGTGATCTTCGAGAAATCTTTGATAAATCTTCTATAGAATCCGGCATGGCCCAAGAAAGATCTCACTTCTCTAACACTTGTTGGGTAAGGAAGGGTTTGTATGACATAAATTTTGGCTTTATCAACTTCAATTCCCCTTTTGGAGACAATGTGTCCCAAGATGGTGCCTTGATTGACCATTAAGTGACACTTCTCAAAGTTTACCACCAACTTCTTCTCAATGCACCTTTCCAAAATCTTCTTAAGATTATCCAGGCATTCATCAAACGAATTGCCATATACGGTGAAGTCATCCATGAACACCTCAATTATATTCTCTACATACTCGGAAAGGATGCTCAACATGCATCGTTGGAATGTGGCGGGGGCATTACATAATCCAAATGGCATCCGGTTGTAGGCAAACGTGCCAAAAGGGCATGTAAAAGTCATCTTGTCTTCATCTTTAAGAGCAACGTGTATTTTATGAAAACCCGAGTATCCATCGAGGCAACAATAATGCGACTTGCCCGCCAATCGCTCGAGCATTTGGTCGATGAACGGAAGGGGGAAATGATCTTTTCGCGTGATGGAATTCAACTTCCTGTAATCAATGCACACCCTCCATCCATTTTAAACTCAAGTGGGTACCATTACGCCCTTGTTGTTTTCAATAATTGTGATACCCTTTTTCTTGGAAACCACTTTAACCACACTAACCCATTTGGAGTCGAAAATGGGGTAAATCATGTATGCATCAAGGAGCTTGATTATCTCTTTCTTGACAACTTCCATCATAGTAGGATTTAATCTTCTTTGAGCTTCTTTTCTAGGTTTACAATCATCTTCCATGAGGATCTTGTGAGTGCATACATTAGGACTTATCCCTTTAATGTCCGCTATTGTCCACCCCATGGCCTCTTTATGATCTTTCAAGACTTCAATCAATTGGTTTTCTTCAAAGTCTTTCAATTGAGAATAGATGATCACTGGTCGAGTTTCATCTTGACCTAGATAAGCATATTTCAAATGGCTAGGTAAGACTTTCAATTCAAGTGTGGGTGGGTGGATTATGGAAGGTGGAATCTTGTATGGAGAATGAGATAAGGCAATTTGAGAAACATCCTTCTTTGTGGAATTGTTAAATTCTAAAGTTTTTACAATCTCTTCAACTTCAAAGTCCAATGTATACATATCCAATGTATTCTTCAAACTTTCACCATCAAGACTCATGTTGAGCACCATCTTCAAAATATCCCCATTTGATAACTCAAATAATTCTTGGGTGATTGGCTCAATCACATCAACCTGATACAATGGAGAAATGTTGCTAGGATATCTCATTGCTTCAAAGATGTTGAAGTGAATGGTCTCTCCATCAAACTCCATGGTGATCTTCCCATTATGGACATCAATAATCGTGTGAGCTGTATTCATGAAGGGTCTTACAAGGAGGATCATAGATGATTTAGAAGGAGACTTCTCTTCAAGGTCAATGACATAGAAGTATGCGGGAAATACTAGTTGATTGACTTGCACTAGTACATCCTCCAATACGCCTCTTGGAAATACACTTAACTTGTCCGCTAATTGGATTATCACACCGGTTTCTCCCAAAGGTCCAACATTGAGAGATTGAAAAACTGAGTATGGCATCACATTAATCGAGGCTCCAAGATCTAGCATTGCACTTTCAACATGCAAATCAACAATAGTGCAAGGAATAGCAAACATTCCCGGGTCCTTGCATTTGGGTGGTAACTTCCTTTGGATGACCGCGGACACATTTGCATTGACTTGAATCTTTTCATTTGCCTTAATTTCCTCTTATTGGTGCACAAATCTTTAAGAAACCTGGCATAGCGCGGAATTTGTTTTATGGCATCCAAGAGTGGAATGTTAATTTGGACCTTGCGGAAAGTCTCAAGAAACTCTTTCTCTTCCTCTTGTTTCTTTGAGGGAGTCAACTGGGAGGGAAAAGTTGGTGGTATGACCAATGGCTTGATGGGTTTGTTGTAAGAGTCAGATTGGTCAAGGTTTTGCAAAATCGGGTCCTTCGGAGTACGTGCAACTTTCGAAGGTTCAACAATAATGACTTTGTCTTCTCCTTCTCTTGAAACTCTTTTAGGGTTGTTTTCTCCAAGTGTTTTCCCAATTCTTAAGGTTATTGAACTCACATTGGGGTTATTCTCGGTTTGAGAAGGAAGTTTACCCCTTTGTTCCATCTTGTTGAGAGCGGTGGCCAAGTCTCCAATTTGTGCTTGAATATTGGAGAAAATGTTCTTGGTATCTTGTTGAAATTGGGTTTGGCTTTGAGTAAGAGAAGTGACGAGTTCTTGAAGGCTCATTTGATGGTTACCACTTGATTGACCTTCTTGTGGAGGTTGTTGGTAATTTTGAGGGGTAGAAGAAGTTTGTGGATATGGAGATTTTTGGGAAGGATATTGTGGATATTGGGGTCTCATCAAAATGTTTGGTGGATTTTGCTTTGGTGGGTATGCGTTGTTTGGGTTATTCCGCCAATTTGGGTTGAAGTTGTTTTGAAATCCCATGGGTCTTGGTTGACCTTGATATCCTTCCATTACATTCACATCCTCCGGTTCACTTCCAAGAGTGGGACATTTATCCGTATAATGTCCCGTCATTGCATAAATTCCACACACCATTAATTGTTGACCACTTCCCACCACCATTTGACTTAGAACATTAGTCAAATCTAAAAGCTTTGATTCCAAGTGTTGGGTGTTGCTAACTTCACCAACCACTTGTGCAGAATTTCTCTTCATTTCATTTCGAGTTCCAAAGTTCCTTCGATTTTGAGAAATGGTTCCAAAAAGTGATCTTATCTCTTGAGGTGTCTTGTTGAAGATGTCACCACTACTTGAAGCATCAATCATCCTTCGATCTTTTTCATTCATACCCTCATAAAATTGTTGAAGAAGTAGTTTTTCGGGTATGTTGTGTTGAAGACAACTTGTACACAAGTTGTTGAATAGCTCCCAAAAATTATGAAAAGTCTCATTCTCCCCTTGACGAATCCCCAAAATGTCACTTCTTCGGCTTGATATCTAGGAGGTAAGATAGAACTTTCTATTGAAGGCTTTGAGTAACTCTTCCCATGTGTGAATAGATCCCGGTGGTAAGTTGAATAACCACTCGCTAGCTTTATCTTCCAAGGTGAGCGGGAAGGCGGTTAACTTGAAATCATCCAACGTTACATTTTCGGGCAACATACTAACACATATCATATGAAAGGACTTCAAATGCTTTTGAGGATCTTCTCAATCCAAACCATGGAACTTGGTTAGTTGATGTATGAAACTTGACTTAAATTCAATTCCTCGGCGGTTCGTGGGATAAACAATACCAAGAGGTGTGTGAGTAACATCCGTCTCCATCATTTGTCTAAGTGTCAACTCTTGAGGGGGATTAGGTGGATTGGGGTTATTGGGATATTGTTACATGTAATTGGGATGTTGTTGGTAAGGTGGGTATGGGTATGGTTGGTGATTATACATTTGTGGTGGATAAGGTTGGTAGTTAGGGTATTGGTTGTAGGGAGGTTGTTGCCGGGGGTACAGTGGTTGTTGGTACATTAGAGGTTGTGGGTAATGAGGTTGTTTTGGTTGATGTGCTTGCTATTGTTGAACTTGAAAAGCATTGTTTTGAGGTCGGTTGTTTTGATGGAAGTTTTGGTTTTGTGGTTGTGGTTGTTGATAATTGGGTTGAGTAGGGGGTTGATTCCAAGGTAGCATATTCATGAGAGGTTCTTGGTGTTGTTGTTGTCTTGGTTGTTGGGGTGGGGTATTGGCATCTTGATTGTTTGGGTTTGGGTTGGGATTGTGAGGTGGAGTGTGATTCATGGCTATATAGTTTTCAAATGGAATCTCTTCAAAGGAAGGACCAACAATTGGACAACTCGGTTCGTTGTCGGTATCACTTGATGTATGAACTTGGTCTTCTATGTTGATTAGTGGAGAAGAGGAAGAAGCTTGAATGAGTTGTTGTTGTTTTGCTTGTTTGGCTAACTTTTTCAACTTTTTTGCTTCTTTTTCAATATCCGGATTGTAGAGTAGTTCACCGGTTCTTGTAGACCTAGGCATAAACAATTAAATAACAATAACCAATTTCCCCGGCAACGGTGCCAAAACTTGGTGGGATGTCAAGTACACCAAGCAAATTACACCATTTATTTGCAAATAAAATGTAATATAATTGTAAAAAGGGGTATCGATCCTCGGGGAAATGGTTGCATTCAATTACTAATGAAATCTAATAGAACTAGTGTAAATAAACTAACTAACTATAATTAAACTAAAAGGGGGGGGGGGTTGTGATTTCTTGAAAACTAAAAGACTTGAATAACTAAAAAGCTTGCAATTAAGCAAGATGGTGAGATGCTCAAATGTTGGGAACAATTGGTTAACCAAGGCAATTCAACACAATGAACATTTGTGTGTTTATCATTAGGATTCAATACAAAGCTTATCATTCATCCCAAATTGGTTATAGCAATCATGAAGCATGATATGCCAAGATTCCTCATAGGTAGTATGGAGGTTAGGGAAGCCCACAACACACCTTCTTAATCAAAATCAAAGATCCAATTAAAGCAATTGAACCTAAGAAGTTGATTAGCCTTAAGAATGAACGAATCCCCAATTCCTAGAGGATGTCAGTGCCTACACATCCATAAAGGAGCTATGATTCATAAGCTAGAGATGATTTCTACCATCATAAAGCTCTTGTTTTAAGTAAATTCAATGATTCAATTTTAAACCAAAGAAATAAACCAACAATTGCTCATTCAAGTACCAAGCTCATGCTCAAAGTGTTAAACAAGCATAAGAAATATGAACTAGAACCATAAACATAAGATAAATGATAAATAAAGATGAATCCTTTAAAAACCCACACACATTCAAAGGTTTTAGCCAAAGTTTACCAAAATAGAGAGTTTAGCCACTCATGGCAATAGAATAACAATCACAAAAGTCTAATTGCATAAAGAAACTACCAATAACTTGGAAAGATGAAAAGAAATGAGTCTCAAGCTCCAAAATCACCTTCTTCTAGTCTCTAATGGTGTAAAATCAAAGTTATAGCTGATAGATCCCATCCCCCAAGGTAATGGCAAGCCAAATGACCAAAATGCCCAAAAATGGGCTGTTGCGCGGGTACCCGCGCGACGGAAATTCCAATCGCGCAAGTGCTGCTGGAATGCTATTGGCTCATTTTTCCTCCACTAACCATCCCATTACGAAAGATTCTCTTGGTCCCCTCCATATCCCACATGATTCAAACTAACCAATCATCTTCTAGCTTCAAATATGGATGCTCAAACCCTAAATAAAAGTCCATGAACCATCTTCACAAGCCCACTTCATCCAAGTCCTTAGCCTTTTTAAGCCCAAATCTCCTGTGGTGGATCCGCCAAGCCCAATAATGCATCGAAAAGCCCACTAAGCCAAACTCCAGTCAAACCGCAACCGCAATGACCTCCAAAATCCTGCAAAATTCCTCCTGCAAAATAGAAAGTCCCCGATACGCTCCATGATAAAGAAAATAAAGAATATACAATGCAATACTAATAAAAAGAGCTAAAACTCTAAAATAAGCTAATAAAAATAAGGAAATAAAATAAGCTATCACTCGCCCTGATGAATCCTTTATTGAGAAGTTCACTTAGTTGGCTAGATAACTCTTGCATCTCGGCAGGAGCTAATCTGTAGGGTGATTTGGCGATTGGAGTGGCTCCAGGTACAAGATCGATTCGGAACTCAACTTGGCGCTCGGGAAGTATTCCGGGCAAATCCTCGGGAAATACGTTAGGAAAGTCACGTACTTCAGGATTATCTTTAATGTTTTTCTCCTCCTTTGTTTTATCCACAACATGAGCAAGAAAGGTGTGATTCTTCTTATGCAAGCACTTTTGTGTTTGGATGCAAGAAATGAGTCGGAGGTTTGCGCCGGGTTTATCGCCGTAAACTTTAGAGTTTCGTTGTTGGGTAGGTGAAGGCGAACGACCTTCTCGTGACACATAATTTCAGCATGGTGGGGGCTTAACCAATCCATGCCAACAATTACATCAAAGCTCCTAATATTAACATGCATCAAATCGATTGGAAAGGAGTGATTATTTAATGTTAGTGTGCACCCTATGTAGATATTGTTGGTTGATTCTGTTTTACCATTGGTCATTTCGACCGTAAAAGTCTCGTTCAATTTGTGGGGATTTTGATTGAGTAGGTGTTTGAATATGTGACTTACGAAGCTTCGCTCAGCACCACTATCAAATAAAACGCACGCATAAGAGTTGTTGAGGGGAAACGTACCAATCTCCAATGTTGGATTTTTCACCGCCTCTCCTTTCCCCATAGTTAGGACTCTTCCTGTGTTCTGATTGTTGTTCTTGGGGTAGTTGCGTTTAAAATGGTCGGTTTCACCACATCCGTAACATGCAAGGCTGGCTCCGATGTTGTTGTCATTGGGCTGCTTGTTTTGTTGTGGGGGCATCATGCAATACCGGACAGTGTGTCCTTTTCGATTGCAGTTGGTGCATTGTAAGTCCTTGCATGCCCCGAAGTGGTGGTAATTACACTTGTCACATTTGGGATTGGAACCCGCGTATGACTTGGCTGGCGTTGTTGTGGTTGAGGCTGGGGCGGATGGAGTGGGTGCGGCTGGAGCGGTAGCAGAATGGACTGGTACTGTCTGTGGCTTCTTGGACGACCCTGAATTTTGTTGCCCCTTACGCTTGTTGTCCCATCTCTTCTTGTTTGCTTTCTCCCTCGGTTGCTTTGGTAATTTTCTTGTTGTCGTGATCATAAAGCTTCTTGGCTAGGCGCTTTGCACTGTCATTGGTCTCAGGTTTCGAGGCAATGACATTACCTTGAGTGGGAGGCGTCAATCCCCAGATGAATCGTTCGACTTTCTTTCCCTCAGACGTAATCATACCAGGACACAAAAGCACGAGTTCATTAAAACCTCGAGATGTACGCGTCAATGTCGGAGTTCTACACCGTAAGGTTCCACAGTTCTTGCTCGAGTTTTTGTACCTCCCCTCGGGGACAGTACTCAGCGATTAACATCTCCTTGAGTTCTTCCTAGGACATGGCGTTTGCAACGGGGAGTGTCATGGCCCTCAATGTGATCGTTCCACCATGACAATGCCTGGTCGATGAATATGCAGGCCGAAAATTTCACTTTACTCCCTTCCGCACATTCACATATTTCAAATACCAATTCAACATTTTCGATCCATCGTTTCAAGGCAATGACTCGTCCAGCCCCGTTGAAAGTGAGGGGTCTTGCATTGGAAAAGTCCTTGTAGGTACAAGCCTTTACA